GGGGGGGGGGGGGAGATGATTATCTATGTGCTACATACACATGGAATATCTCTGAAGGATAAAATGGCTTGTCTTTGGGAAGGAGAGCCGTTTAGCTGGGAGACAAAGACAGAAAAGACTTAATAATTATAAATCACCTTGAAAGTCATACAAATATAGCATTAATTATTTAAAATTTTTTTAAGTAAAAGAGTTACAAAGCAAAGATTTTAGAATTGGGAGTGTAGAGATTTTAAGAGTTTGGTGTATGCTCTTTTTTTATTTATAAGTATACTTGTTTAAAATAAGTAGTGAGAATGCAAGCAATTTTAAGGAACTTACCCATACTGTGTCGTTGTCAATACTGCCCCTCTCTTTTCCTTTTCAAGTTTTAACTTCTTCTTCCTTTCAATATTGGCCAGAGTTGGATAGTTTCTACAAAATAAAGTTAAATTTTGCTACCAGTCTGCAAGTAGGTAAGGAGCTTTACACTAGAATTTAAATCAAATATATCATACAGTGCCTCAAACTGGTCTAATTCATTTATTTGGTGTGTATGTACCTATAGAAAAAAGGTAAATCTATGCAATTACTTATGCAAATACATAGAAGGTCCATCCAAAGTTACCATGATGAGAAAGAGACTGTTCTCAAAAAAGGTAGTCTACCAGGAAGGATAAGAAAAGCACACAGGCAGCTTTAACAAAGGGCAAAATGTAGTAATTACCCCGAAGAATATATAGCTTGGAGGGTAGGAGAAAAGATTAAATCGAGCTGGAGAAAAACAGAAACAAGAAAGATACTGGTCTTAAATGGTGTTAATAGACAGAAATCAGAAAGAAAAGCTTTTGAGTGTTCTAAGCAGAGCAAACAATGCAGACAAACCAAGGCCTCAGAAAGTGAGATCCAGGGAATGACAAGTGGTTCATTTTGTATAAAACATAGTTACAGGCAATCAGATGAGAAAGGGAGGCTGAGGCCAAAATGTGCCTTAAATGGAAGACTAGAAAGTTTATATTTAATTCAGTGGAGATGGGGAGCCACTCCAAGTTATGAACAGGGAGAGATATGTACAGGCAGTGATTAAGATTTAAGTTAGACCGCAGTGTTCAAGATAAAATGCTCTGACAAAGCTTTCTTTGTTCCTTGGCATAACTGTGTAGAGATGCAGGCACCAAACTCTGGTGGTGAGGGGAGTAGATTTCAGAAGTATAAAAAGGAGGAAAACACAAACAGATCCCTACCACTCAGCCAGCCTGTTCATTAGAGTCAATTTTAAGAAGCATAAACAAATCTTGTTCTGCCATTGTTTCTTTTTTTTTTTTTTTTTAAACACAGACAATATGAAACCCATTTGTCGGCCACATTGAAAGATAAGAATTGAAATGATATTAAGTGGTGAAGTAATCAGAAAAAAGGCAATGAATTTCAATGAGGACAGTGCAAAGCAACCTATTCAGCCAAGAAAAATAAACTCCATAAATAAAAGATGATGAATACACAAGCTATAAATAAACATAAGAGGAAAAGATCAAGGTCATAAGGAGATAAAAATCTGACAGCCAGTCAGTACCATAAGACTACACTTCTGGAAAGCAAACATAATCTAAAGTTATGTGAAATGGACTCTGGCACATGTTCAAGTGTGAAATCTTCCTCTCACGAAACTCAGAAGTGGTCAGAAACTCTCAGCACTGTGTCGTTTTGTACTTCTAAACTGAAAAGGAGGGTTGAGGAAAAGTAAAACTTGGAAGGGATTCAGAAGAGACTCAAAGATGATTAGCAGGATGAAAACTAAAACCTCTGAAGAAAGATGAAAAGAACTTAAGTTATTTGCAGCCTTTAAAAGAGGAAGAGACGTGACAATAAACAATCTCACAGAGAGGATGGTAGCCAGCTGTTCTCAATCTGAAGACAATATACAAAAGGCGAAATGATGAGAAAAAAGGTGATGACTTTCACAGGCCCCAGTGTCAAGGCATGCAACTCACAGCTACTCAATACCCTTTACATCTCTGAAATTCACTTATTCATACTACTTGTTTCCTCAACATTTTTCTTCTACGTACTGCAGACCCTTAACATGTTAGGCCATATGCCAAACAATAAGATTTGGTAGTATAATGTACGATGTAGGTGCCACTTAAGTGCTTCTCAATAATGAAGAATGTAAATGTTTGTTATAGCAAATGGTTTAGGTGAGATGTGAAAAGAATTCCTATACAAGACATCAAGAAAGTTGTGGAAACGCCTTTAAAAAGGCTCACTTTCTCTTCCTGGCAGATTCAAGTATCACTTTCCTAAAGGTAAGGGATCTTTCAATAACCCTTGCAAAGCTATAAGATTCTATTGTTCAGTGCTTAAATTAATAAAATCTTGGCCCAAAATTTTTACCATTTTTATTTACACAGAATCTAGAGATTAAAAACTAAGGAAAACAAGGGTAATAGAAGAAAATTATTTCAAAACAGGGATACCAGAAATACAAGACAGTTACACACACAACAATCAGGAAGACCCTCCCACAACATAAAACTGAGGTACAAAAATAAGGAAAAATCTGGAGCTTTGATAAAGGTCACAGGTCAGGTTCCTAAGTGCAACTGAAATAACCAATTCAAAGACTGTTGAAAAAAATCACAAATTGTCTTATATTGCACAATTATAAACAGATAAAACTTGGCCCGATATCTCCTGGTAGACAATGGATGTTACGAAGTTATAAAGACTGGGATAAGTGATATTTTCAATTGGTTTCTCTATTTTTATTTGCTAAAATCACTTTTCTTCCTGTACTCCCATCTTTCCCCAATACCCCAAGAGGAAATGGCCCTGAAACCATAAGCCCTTTTTCTTTCTTCTTCCTGTTTCATTTCATCCCAACTCGTTACCTTCCCTTTGCCTACGCTTTAAATCTCCTGTGACAATCCGTAAGCACTAAAGTCAATAAATGGGCAAAACTGTCCCAACCATGATCTTAGCACATGTCATTCTGGTTACATTATACTCTCTAACTCTCTTCCTTAACCCCAAATCACCACCCACTTAGTGCTTCTCCCCTAAGTCTGTTCTCTATAAAAACACAATCCCTCTTTACTCTCACTGACTGGCCCACAACTACTTCAACACAAGCCCTACCACTATATTTTTATTTCAGAGTCTTTCTGAAATTCAAAATATGTAGCATTCTTTAGGAGCAGACCCTCTCTGTTGGAATTCTGAAATAACTGGGGACACAATTTCAAAGGATTTCCTAACCTACAGCAACTGCTGAAATAAATGCCACAAAACTACGCCACCTAGTGGACTCCCATCTGCCATAAAACATCTCAATGTTTCTAAAATAAGAGGTTTTGAAGACAAGCCTCTACCACTCATTGTCTCTAATACCAAGTCACACAGCATTTCTACCTCATAGGTCAGTAATTAAGAATCGCTTTGTTTATTTTGGTGGAACTTTTTTTATGCAGGTTATTAGTGAAAGCCGTAAAGTTTTTAATAAAATACAGTGGGGACCTGAGTTTGGCTAATCTGAAAAAAATAAAGATGAAGGAATAAAGGCAAAAATGTACTTTCTTTAAAGGAGCAACACACTAAGCAAATCTTTAGCATTTTCTTCCAGCTCTAAAATTCTCACTCCATGAATAATCTTTTACAAGATTTTCTAACATAGCAATCACAAAGTCTTTCTTTCCTGTCAAAAAATAGTGGCTTCCTCAGAAAAAATGTAGCTCTCACAAGAACTTCAGATGAATTCAGCAAGCAGCAAAAGACAATTTCAGAACACTCTGTTAACAAGGCAATATCAGAGGTGAAAGTAAACTTCATCCAAAATTGTCATCCTCACCCAATTTCCACATTCTCCTTAAGCATTTCATAACTTCACAATCTGTAACCTCACTTACTCCACAGATATTGCTCAGTCTTCTTCCAAGTTACTCTGTCCACTGTCATAGTGATACCCTCAACCTACATTCTAGAAACTACAACTAGACTCTCCCCTCTCTGCCCCCACCTATCCTATAGGAAAAGAATCACCAATAAGCATATTAAACACTTGCTCATCTATCCTTTATTCAGGATAGAGCTTCTTTCAAGTATCACTTAGAGTTTTAAAATTCAACAATCTTTAAACTTTCCCACCAAGCATTGAGGCAAATGTTACTACCCTGTTGTCCCCTTTCCTTAACAATTTTGTTTGGGGATATTTCATCAACTCTGTGGTCACTAACGGTGGCCAAGCAACCTATTTCAATGAGAGCTACTTGGAAGTCTCCTGGTTGGAGCTAAAAACAAAGTGATTGTTTTCCTAATAAAAAGGGGCAAACTTGGCTATGGGTGCCTTTGGCCTTTTTCTCTTCTTCCTGCCTAGAATGTGGGCTTAATATTTGGATATGCGGGAAACTTCTGGTGGACATGAAAATGAAACCACCTACTAAAGAGTAATAAGAGAAAGCCTATGCCTAATGGTGCTGCTGAGCAGCAACAGTAGCTCTGGAATTTTTCTACCTGGGAAAAATAAACCTCTTTGTGCTAAGCCACAGTAGTAAGGTTGCTGTTCCATTTACTGGAGCACAATCTTAACTGATGAAAGCACCACTGCATCCTAGCCATCCTCTTTAATCCGAATGCTTTCCCTACCCAACTAGGCATATCTTGATTTTAAAACTCGCCTCCTAAAAGCTTTGGCAGTTTCTTATAAAGTTAAACATGCTTATCATATGACCGATACCACTCCTAGGTGTTAACCCAAGTCAAATAAAAACACATGTTCTAAACAAAAACCTGTACGTCAATGTTTACGAAAGCTTTATTCATAATCATCAAATACAGGAAACATTCCAAAATGTCCCACAACTGGGAAATGGATGAACAAACTGTGGTATATTCATATATGGGACATTCATACGGGACAGAATAATAGCGATAGAAAGGAATGAACTACTGCTACATGCAACAACAGAAATCAATCTCAAATGCAGTGCACTAAGTGAAAAAGACAGATTCAAAAGCTAAAGACTGTATGATTCCATTCAGATAATGCTCTGCAAAAATACAAATATAAGAACAGAAAACAGATCAGTGGTAGCCAGGGATTGAAGGTTGGGAGAGAAGTTGACCACAAAGGGCATAAGGGAATGTTTTGGGGTGATAGAATACTATTCTATATCTTGACTGTGGTGATTACGCAACTATATACATGTCAGAACTATGCATTAAAGGGGTGAATTTCACTGTATGTATAACATACATTAAAATAAATAAGGAGGGGCAGACTCTAGACCTCTTACAAGAAGCCTTGCAAAATGAATTGATGGCCCTGCCTACCAAAGATTCCAAGTATCCCTTGACCAGATATTATCATCTCTACATGATTAAACTTAATGCTTCAGTTGCCTATGGTCTCATGGCCACATCACATATATTTATCCTATATCTCATGAGTGAGAATATTCAAGGCAAGAGTCTATTCCTATCTGCTTTCTGTGACCTTGGCCAGATATAGCAAAATCTTTGCCTTTTCAAATACTGAATGTTTACCTCTAATTTTCAAGATAAACTATTGTCAAGAAATTATTCAAAGATATCATAATGTAAATTAAGAGAAATGCAAGGGTTGCTGAGATTTCTCACTAACATTGGAAAATCAAATTAGTCTTCTGCCAGGGACTTTATATTAACACATGCTACCTAAGCTAGTTTGCATCTTCAAATTTCTTAAGTTTCTCTAGTGACTAGTCAGTAGATTTTTTTTCCCATTAAAGCACTAGTTGCACAAATCCACCAGGGGGCATAGTTCACACACCTATGGGGAAAGCTACTTTAGAAAGTATTGCATTCAGATACAATCAGTTTGGTTTGTCTCAGTGATTGTCCAATGTAGTGAGAAATTTCATTATCAAAACCATAGCAGTTTAATTAGTATTACCTATGTTACTAATTTACAACCATAATTATTCATCCTTGGGTGAGGATTAACAAACAAAAAAATGAGTCTCACAAGATTTCTCCAACCACTTACTTGGATGTACCAAAATAGAATTACACACATAATAAAAGTATTTCCAAGCTCCATTTATATACATAAACATTTATAAGATCCCTTAGATCTATGGCAACATGGGGTATAAACGGCCACATAAAAGATGGTTCTTACCTTTGTAAAGCCTTAAGTCACTTTTTAAAAAGATACATATGCAAAGTTCATCAATAAGACCATAACAAGAGACATCTACACTAAGAGGCAGAGCAGATACCAGATACCGCATTCAAAGAAGGGCAAGATATTCCTGTAGGCAGATGAGGAAAAGTATCCCCAACATGGCAGGATTTCAGCTGGGCTAAAGCAATGAGCAGAACTTTAAAGAGAGAGGAAGTACAATTTACTAGAAGCAGCAGCTTGAGCAAAGTCATTATTTTGAAGCCCTGCCATAGTAAAAGAAAGTTATTTCACTAGTTCTAAACTCTTTACTCACTTTCTTCTTTCTTCTCTCCATCTTGCAATCTCCTCTGGAGTATCTAACTTGATCTTCTTCATGCCAGGAGCATGCATCTAGGGGGAAAAAGCCTGCTGAACATCAGGAAGCTTATATATGCTTTTGACTAAATCTCAAGCATTATGGGGGATAATGGAGACTCTATACCCAAAAGTTTAAAACTAAGTATGCTGGTTTTATCCATCCTTATTATAACTTTTCCTTTAAAGAAGAATAATGTCCTGTGTATTTAGATAAGTGCTAATGATAAGAAAAAAAAGGAGTAACATAATTTTGGCTACAAAGTAAATGTCATCCACTTTTCAACTGACATTAACTTCCTAAACTAATGACCTAACAACCAAAATTGAGGGAGGTAGCTAAAGAAATAACAAATACACAAAACAATATGAAGCAACATGGTGCAGGAAAACCACCAGAGAATTTGGAATTTTAAAAAATGCAGGAATCAGTTCTGAGGACCTGGGCAAACAACTACTTTATCTGTTAAACAGGGCCAATATTTATCTATTTTACATAGATGTTTATGAGAATAAAATAGATGTAAAATTCCCTTACAAAGTACAAAGTACTGCAGGAATGTTGAAGATAACAGATCAATGAAATGGAAAGAGCATGTATCAGAAAAAAACACACACACACAAGAACTTACATTTCTCCAATGGAACTGGACGATCTTCTCATGTGCGCTAAAAGAGCAATCTGTTTCCGGACACTATAAGAGTAAACAAAAAAAGACTGTTCATTGTTTTCCGTATTAAGTATATCCTATTACTACATATACAGATGTGTTCTAGTCATATTACATAGTTATCCCATCTATGTGGTGTTATCACTGCACAGTTATGTCAATAGCAAAACAAAGCTCACTCCAAAACAGAGTTGAATGTAAAAAGAAATGACGTTTTCAAAATATATAGTATAGTAATACATATTATTTACTTTTATTCCTAAAAGTGAGGGGCATTTCTATAACCTGAAAGAGAAGCTTTTTCAAACTAAGAACTTTCTCTTTAACTTCTCAAATATTCTGGTTAAGAAAAATTTTTAAGTACTTAATAAGGTCCAGACCATCCTTAGAGTGTGATGGGCCATGGCAAATTACAGTGTGGTTAAATGGTCAAGGGCAGCCTTAAAAGGAAAAGAATTTACAAAGGTGCACAAAGCAACTGGAGGGGAGAACGGGCCCTCTTACAAAGCAGAGGAGGCCCACACATACTGACAGCTGCCAGACCTTCCTTCTTTGCTGCCATCTAATCTCTTTCTGAAGCAGTGGGCTCCCCACCCTCAAACTGCAAATTCCAGGGTCACTGTCCCAATTTGTCAGACTATAGTCTACGAACTATAAACTTTTAAGGAAAAGCAGCACAGAATTTTTATCAAATAATACCCATTTTGCTAAATAAATTTCAGGACAACCAAGAATACCTACCTTTGTATGCTCAGACATGTGCTTATCATACTTTTCTTGATTTTTAAAACCACGATCACAGGTATCACAAAAATAGTGAAAAACTGGTTCTTTTCTTTTCTGCAAACAAAATGAAGAGGCATTAGATTTTTGGTGAAAAATCTTTAATCAATAATAAAAATATAACTGTCCTTCTAGTAACACATACTTTGATTTTTCACATAACCTTTCACAGAAACTCCTGAAGATATTACTAATGAAGAGATAATTCTGTTTCTTTTTATTTCAAGCAAAGATATTAGGAAGAGACAGACACAACAAAAAATTTTAAATCTGAGCAGAACTGATATAAACAGTGAACAGCTTGCAAAGTGGTATCTAATTAGACTTTTTACACTAAATATTTCTTCTTTTAGAAAAAAACAATTATATATATTTAAACCTACAGAAGGGGAAAAAAGAATTATTTAGGTAAAGATTAGTTATTTTTTTATCCCAATTTGCTACTGTATGCTTAAACATAAAACTAGAGAGATTATTACAATGGTAAACTCTATAGGAAATATTTAATGTTGAGATGTTAATAAATATAGTAGTTTTTCACAATATTTTGTTAATATTAGCTACATATTCTCTAAACTAATAACATGATTTATACACTTTAAAAGCTGGAAGACCAGACTGTAAATACTAGAGTAAAGGAAGCCCATTTTAAGACTTGGTTTCTGAACATAACCAAGAGTTGTTCCTCCTTAAAAAAAATACAAAAGACTTTTAATTCCACCCCCCCCACCAATCTTCTAGTAATATACATACATAATTTTTATCTATTTTTTACTTCGTTGAGTTTTAATAACATTTACATTTATCTGTAATCATAATTCTCAATAACATTTACTCCTGATACTATACTGAAATGAATTCAGTGTTTCCTTTTTCTATAACTTTTCCTTTTATTTCTCAAAAAGATTTCGCTTGAATTTTTTACTTAAGCTAACATTCTTAAAGATCCTATTATAGCAAGATTCCACTGTGTCAATAATGGATGCAAAACACTGAGAGTTATGACAGAAGCACAAAATATGAGAGTAACATAGGGACCACGTGTTACATTCAAGAACATCTTCAAAAATACCTTTTTTTTATGTTTTCTACTGGGAGGGAAGTTGAAGTCAGTAAACTTTGCATCATATTTTTGTGGAAAATAAGAATGATTAACTGAAAAACAAAAAGAGATCCATAAATGTTTGCAACTAAACAATTATTTCAAAATTTTATTTGCTATAGTATGTAACAAATACTTGAGTAAAAGAGTGGTAAATTGCCCCATCTAAGAAGAATAGTAATTTGAACAAATTATCAAAGATTAAGACTAGTCTACCAAATAAACATTTTTCAAATGGTGGTAAGATTGTGTCCATAGATGCTTTAGGCATCTAAGCAATGGACAAGCTAATCTGATAAAATTCCTTGTACTTATTTCAAACATTAGAAATGTAAACAGTAAAACCCCTAATACAGCTCCTTCATCATCAATTTTACACCAGAAAACAACCTTGTGAAATACATTTTTTTCTCAAATTATTTTCCTTTCCTATTGCCATCACCCAACTCTGAAGCCCTGATCTTTCTTTCACCTAGATTACTGTGACAGTCTCCCAAATTGTTTTCCAGTTTCTAAGTCCTCTCTTCCAACAGACTGGGCACACTGACACCAAAAAAATAATCCTTCAGTCATCACAACCCTGCAAATAGCTTCCTAGAGTCCTTCAATGAGATCCTGGTTTATTTTCTCTTTCCGCATACCTTCCACATACTCTGCTTCAGTCATATAAAACGCTGCAATCTTCAGAACTCACTTTGTACTGACACCTCTTTGCCTCTACCTAAAAAGTATCTCTTCCTAAACATCTCCCAAGACATTTCTTCCAAAAGCTGTTCCCAACTCCTCAACATTCTGAAATCACCTTTTATATACCTCTATCATCAATCACACTGTACTGTGACTTACATTTACACAACCCATTTCACCTGACGCACTGCCATAAGTACATTCGTATTCCCAGCATTTGGCAGAGTAAACACTGATTTAGATTCAATTTAATGTAAATGGAATCTTATGCAGAGTTGGAGAATAGTGAACACTATCATGGCTTTAAATATTATCTATATGCTGATGGCACCCAAATTTACAACTCCAGCTACAAATCTCCCCTGAAAGGAGTTTGGAATACTGTGTTAAGTAGAGATGTTACTAAATAGCTAACAGCCTATTCAACATCTCTACTTAACACACATATTCCAAACTCACTCCTGGTCTTCTTTCCAAATCTGCTCCATCCACACCCTTCCACTTGTTTGGCAAAAACCTTTTAAGTTATTCTTATCTCTTTACTTCACACCCTGTATCTGACCCTTCAGCAAATCATTTTGGCTTTACCCTCCCTTCGAAATATATCTAGAATCCAACTATTTCTCATCACCTCCTGAGCTCCATCCTGGTCCCAAGTCCCCAATCTCTCACCTGGAAAGCTGCAGTAACTTCCTAACTGCTGGCCTCCCTTTCATTCAATTCTCATTGGTAGTCACATTAACCCTTTAAAAAACAGACCAAATGTGACTCCCCTACAACTATCCATATCACAACAGTAAAAATCAAAGTCCCATCAACTAAAAGGCCCTCACAGGTCTGCCCTCTTCCCCAAATTTTCTACAATTTTACCCCAGGCTCAGTCCTTTTGAGCCACACTGATCTACAGTTCCAGCCTCATGGCCTTTGCAGTTGCTGTTCCTTCTGCCTGTATCCCCACTCCCCGATATATCCACGGATCTGATCCCTCACCTCCTTTAAGTCTTTGCCCAAATGTCACCTTCCTTATGACTGACACTGACATTTAAAACTGTACTATCATTCTTCTTTGCTTTATCTCCCTCCATAGCACTCACTGCCTTCTAATACACACTGCTGCATTTTGTTTATTGTCTGTTTTCCTACACCAGATGTTAAGCTCCATAAAGATAAGGATTTTCCTATGTTTTGTTCACTACTGCATTCCCAGTTCCTATAGTTGGAATTCAATACTTAACTGCTAAATTGAATGAAAGGGCAAGGAAAACATTCCCGTCCGACAAATTGTGAGACATTAACGACCACACTCCAAGAGAGCAGGGCAAAATCAGAAGTGGAGAGGCGAGAAAAAGAAAACTGGAGAGGGAAGAGGAGTCAATTGGAGGGGGGCGGGGTACGGAGAGGAGTAACAGCCTACCCGGAGTGTTGTGGGGTTGCTGATGCTGAGGGAAACTGCCAGGAGACTGTCCCCAGTGCCATGATGTCGAAGCCTGGAAACTCCAGGAAGGCTGGCCGTTGATCTGAGGCTGAGAATCAAGGCGGGACTGGGTGTCGAAGAGGGTCTGGGCCCCGGGAAGAACCTGGGCATCGAAGCGCGGAGGCGCCTTGGGGAGCCCCTGGGTCTCCATCGAGGGCAGCGCCTCGGAGGACCGCTCTGACCCCGCTGCGGACGGCGACGACGAAGGTGGCGGCGGCGGCGGCAGCATTGCCCAGAGCATCCATTTGGGCGGCAGAGGAGCCGTGTCGCTCAGAGGCCCCAACGTGGGGATCCGCTCGGGGGCTGAAAACCACCCCGCGGGAGTCACGAAACCACCAGCCGGCTCAGCCATGCCACCAGCCAGGTGGGGAACCCAGCGTGCGAATGTGGAGCCGGCTTTATGCGTCACTTCCGTGCTCGTGAATTACGTGGATCAGCCAACCACGGGCAGAAACGTCATTGGTCAGCGCCGGAAAAAACTTCCAGCGTCTGCGAAGGATCGCGGGCTGATTGGGGGTAGGTTTGACTCTGTGGGTGGCCTCGCCTGCCTGCTCAGCGTCGGCCGCCGCGCATGGCGAGGGATCTGATCGGGCCGGCGCTGCCGCCGGGCTTCAAGGCCCTCGGGACAGCGGAGGACGAGGAGCGGGACCCTAGCCCCGGTAAGCTGCGGCGCGTCCCCGCCGGCCTGGCCCTGCTCTCTGAGTGGACGGCGGAGGACTGGAGGGCGGGGAACTGGGGTGTGGGCGCGTGCGACCCAAACCAACTTTCCTTCCCAAGCCCTAGCGGTAGGAGGAGGTGGCTGTGGGGCCTCAGAAACAAGTCTCGTCCTGGTAATTATTTAATGACGTGTTCCCATTTAGCGTTAAATGGACTGGACGCTGTGCGAAACTGTCAATACACATTCAGTCAGGTAATCGTCCTAGGAACTGTGGAAGGTAGAGATTGTTCTTGCTGTCGAGGAAAGAACGTCCAAACCTATAGAAAAGTTTTGCGAGACTTTATTTAAGCCAAATTTTTGTGGACACGCCCCGAATCAAGATATCAGCGGATTTAGAAAATGCTCTGGAGAATGGCAGTGTTACAGTTCTTTTTATGTATTTAGGATCAAAGGAGAAAAGTCAGGAAGGTAGATGAAATCCACTGGTCGTAGATTAAGGGGGAGTGGGAAGCAAAGAGGGGAAATCTCCAGGATTGGATAAAAAGCAAAGCGAAGAAACACTTTTACATTGCTGGGTACAGAATAGTTCATTAACATTTACAGTATATAAAGCTGGTATGCAAAGAACAAGATATAAATGAGTGGTTCTGTGGTCTCTGGTGGTGCTGTGCTCTGGTGCCTGCAATTGTGTCTTTGAGGGGTCTAGAAAAGAAAATTACTCTGACATTTCAAAGGTATGTTATCCTAGGTGCATAAGAGCAAAGGACAGGGCTCACTTAAGGTAGACATTGACCTTGCTAAGGAAGCTATAGGCCTGGAGTGTGACTACCCTCTATGACCTGCCCAATGGGAATATGTGATCAGACCATCCTGTGTGGTTACTTTTGGTCACTGAGGTTTTCAGACCTGCCACCTGGCCTCAGTGACTTTGTCAATGTTATTACATAGCCCCCTTTTTGTTCACATTTCCATGTTATAATTGGGGACACTTAAGACCCAGGCTGCTACCCAGATCACACAGCTAGTAAGTGGTGGAGCCCCTTTTAGAATGAAGCCAGTATTCTATGTCTTTTTGCCTTCTGATGTACAATGTCCCTGGCTCTTGGAGAAGATGCTTTGCTCTATAGCCTGACCTGTTGTCCTAGCTTCTAGTTCTGTCATTGCATCTGACACACACAGCGCAGTGCTCAAACCAGTTAAAATTTCTGGCAGTTCCTCAGTTCTCTAAGCTCCTTCTGGCTTCACTCTGCACTTAACATACCTGACAAACTCCTACCCCACCCTTGGAAGCCCAACTTAAGTGTCACCTCAGTGAAGCCTTTCCCAAATTCTCCCAAACATTGTCACCCTTTCCTCTTTACCCACAGGTTTTCCCTACTTAATTACATCATGTATTTAATACACTGTTTTTGAATAACTGGTTGGCTTATCTGTCTTCACCATTGCAGTATGGTCTTCTGGCCTTAATACGTAGTACGTACTTGGTATTTGCCAAATAAATGCTTCTCAGACTACTCCATGCATATCTATCTTCTTTAATGGTTGTTCTAATTCGTAGGCTGGGGACTTGACACTAAAGTTGGAAAAGAATAAAGCTGAAAGAGCAACTCTTCCATTTCTCAATCTAATTTTCGTTCTTTGCCTACCTGGAGGCCATGTTTCCACCTAGAGAAGCAGTTTTCAACCTTTTTCATCTCATGACACTAATTACTAAAATTCTGCAGCACACCAAAAAATATAATTTTTGCAGATCTGACAAAAAAATAGGTATAACTTTGATTCACTCACACCAAATGACTGTTGTCTTTTTATTATGATTTGCTTCCATTAATTTACCAACAGTTACTTCAGTTAGTCCTTTCTCTGTCCACTCTCTTCTGTTTGAGTATGTTCTGTGTGCACTCTCTCCCACCCCCGTCCCTCAGCACTTAACACTGTGTAGGTGTGTATCCACCTGTACCTTGCCCCAATCTGCCTGGCACATAAAAGATCTATGGTAATATTTGTTGAATAATTTCACCTCATCAAACACAATATTTTGTGCATAGCATTGTCATTTTTAACACATAATCCCCTTATTATAATTTTGTTCCCTTAATAACCTCCTAGATGGCTGATCCTAAAACAGCTGCCAAAAAATCTTGAGATGCCATTTTTTATCTCATTATTATTCATCTGGACTTTTTAAAAGTTTAGCAATACCAGTATCCTTGAAATTCACTATATCACAGCGTAGAAGTTCCCCTTGGGCCATCTTCTGGTCACTACCTGCCTTTTCATCCCTCTTTCAACCAACAGGTAACCACCATCCTGGCTTATGACATCATGGATAAATTTTGCATGCTTTTGTGCTTTATTTAAATAGAAAAACACAGTAGGAACTCTTGAAACTGGCTTCATATTTGACACATTATTTTGTAAGATCAGCATATTGATGAATTGTTGATGTTATAAATTTATAGGCATTGCTATCTAGTAGTCCATTGTGTGAATGTTCTGCAATTTATCCATTTACCGTTGGTGGATATTTGAGTAGTTTTGCCTTTTTCATGCTTAAAAAAGTGCAGGTATACGTTCTAGTACATGTCTTTGGTGAGTACATGTTGCTTTTTTTTTTTTTATTGTTGGGGTCATTGGATACACATATATTCATTCAGCTTTAGTAGATACTACCAGTTTCCAAAGTCGTACCAATTTACACTCCCCCCAACATAGATGAGAATCCTCATTCCATGTTCTCACTAATACTTTTATCTGTATTTTATATCTGATGATTTGTAGCACTATCTGATGGTAGCTTTAATTTGTATTTTTCTGATGACAAGTAAAGTAGACTACCTTTTCATGGGTTTGGGTTTTTGGGATTTTTTTTTGTTATTTTGTTGTTGTTTGTTGTTTTGCCATTTGGATGTGTGTCAGGTCTTTTGCTCATTTTTTCTTTGAGTTGTCCCTTTTGTTACTGGTTTGTAGAGTTCTTTATGTAGTCCGGACACAAGTCATTTTTCAGCATGAATCAGTTTTCAGAGATATGTGTTGCAAATGTTTTCTCTAAATCTGAATGACTTTTGATCTCTTATTAGTATATTATGAACAGAAGTTCTTAATCTTTATATATTCTGGTTTTTAATTTAGTTTTTATTGAATTTATTGGGGTGATACTGGTTAACTAAATATTACAGATGTCAGGTGCACAATTCTGTGACACATCATCTGTACACTCTATTGTGTGTTCACCACCCCACATCTCTTTCCATCACCATTTATCCTTCCTGTGCCTTCCTCCACCTTCCCCCAGGAATCATCACACTGTTGTTCCTGCCCATGAGTTTTTTTCTTTTTCTTTTTTGCTCAATCCCTCTACCCCTCCACCCAGCCCTGCAAACCACTCCCCCTTCCCCCTGCAGATGTCAGCCTGCTCTCTATCTTTGACTCTGTCACTATTTTGCTTGTTAGTTAATTTTGTTCATTAAATTCCACATATGAGTGAAATCATATGGTACCTGTCTTTCTCTGACTGTTTTATTTCACTTAGCACAGTGTTCTCCAGGTGCGTCCATGCTGTCTCAAAGGATAAGATTTCCTTTTTTTTTTTTTATAAGGTATAGTATTTTTTTTATTATTATTGATTTCAGAGACAGGAAGGGAGAGGGAGAGAAATAGAAACATCAGTGATGAAAGAGTCATTGATTGGCTGCCTCCTGCAAGCCCCCTACCAGGGATCAAGCCCACAACCTGAGCACGTGCTTTGACTGGGAATTGAGCCAAAATCTCCTGGATCATGGATTGATGCTCAACTGCTGAGCCACACCGATGAGGCAACATTTTTTCTTTTCTTCTCTTTTCTTTTTCTTTTTTATGGCCAAGTAGTATTCCATTGTGTAAATGTACCACACCTTTTTTATGCACTCATCTACTGATGGACACTTGCACTGCTTCCAAATCTTGACTATTGTAAATAATACTGCAGTGAACATAGGGGTACATATCTTCTTTCAAATTAGTGTTTCGGGTTTCTTCAGATAAATTACTAGAAGTAGAATCGCTGGGCCATATGGCAGTTCCATTTTTAATTTTTTGAGGTAACTCCATATTGCTTTCCACAGTGGCTGCACTAGTCTGCATTCCCACCAACAGTGCAGGAGGGTTCTCTTTTCTTCCCATCCTCACCGACACTTATTGTTTGTTAATTTATTGATGATAGTCTTTCTGACACGTATGAGGTGGTATCTCAATGTGGTTTTAATTAGTATTTCTCTGATGATTAGTGACTTTGAGTATCTTTTCATATGTCTATTGGCCATCTCTATGTCCTCTTTGGAGAAGTGTCTATTCAGGTCCTTTTCCCATTTCTCAGTTGTAATTTTTTTTTTTTTTTTTAGTGTTGAGTTTTATAAGTTCCTTATAAATTTTGGATATTAAGCCCTTATCAGATGTACCAGTGGATATGTTCTCCGTTCAGCGGGTTGTCATTTCAAGTTGTAGGTGGTTTCCTTTGCTGTGCAAAATTTTAGTTTGATGTAGTCCCATTTGTTTATTTTTTTCTCATTTTCCTTGCCCAAGGAGATATATTAGAAGAAATATTGCTACGAGAAATCCCCAAGATTTTACTGCCTATGTTTTCTTCTAGAATTTTTATGGTTTTGAGTCTTTAATCCATTTTGAGTTTATTCTTGTGTATAGTGGCAGAAAATGGTCTCGTTTCATATATTTGCACATATCTCCAG